GTTAGTTCTGTACTGTTAGATAGCCACTGTATCTTAGTTTGTGTAGGTTAGTTCTGTACTGTTAGATAGCCACTGTATCTTAGTTTGTGTAGGTTAGTTCTGTACTGTTAGATAGCCACTGTATCTTAGTTTGTGTAAGTTAGTCCTGTATTGTTAGATAGCCACTGTATCTTAGTTTGTGTATGTTAGTTCTGTACTGTTAGATAGCCACTGTATCTTAGTTTGTGTAGGTTAGTTCTGTACTGTTAGATAGCCACTGTATCTTAGTTTGTGTAAGTTAGTTCTGTATTGTTAGATAGCCAATGTATCTTAGTTTGTGTAGGTTAGTTCTGTACTGTTAGATAGCCACTGTATCTTAGTTTGTGTAGGTTAGTTCTGTACTGTTAGATAGCCACTGTATCTTAGTTTGTGTATGTTAGTTCTGTACTGTTAGATAGCCACTGTATCTTAGTTTGTGTAAGTTAGTCCTGTATTGTTAGATAGCCAATGTATCTTAGTTTGTGTAGGTTAGTTCTGTACTGTTAGATAGCCACTGTATCTTAGTTTGTGTAGGTTAGTTCTGTACTGTTAGATAGCCACTGTATCTTAGTTTGTGTATGTTAGTTCTGTACTGTTAGATAGCCACTGTATCTTAGTTTGTGTAAGTTAGTCCTGTATTGTTAGATAGCCAATGTATCTTAGTTTGTGTAGGTTAGTTCTGTACTGTTAGATAGCCACTGTATCTTAGTTTGTGTAGGTTAGTTCTGTACTGTTAGATAGCCAATGTATCTTAGTTTGTGTAGGTTAGTTCTGTACTGTTAGATAGCCAATGTATCTTAGTTAGTGTAGGTTAGTTCTGTACTGTTAGATAGCCAATGTATCTTAGTTTGTGTAGGTTAGTTCTGTACTGTTAGATAGCCAATGTATCTTAGTTTGTGTAGGTTAGTTCTGTACTGTTAGATAGCCAATGTATCTTAGTTTGTGTAGGTTAGTTCTGTACTGTTAGATAGCCAATGTATCTTAGTTTGTGTAGGTTAGTTCTGTACTGTTTGATAGCCACTGTATCTTAGTTTGTGTAGGTTAGTTCTGTACTGTTAGATAGCCACTGTATCTTAGTTTGTGTAGGTTAGTTCTGTACTGTTAGATAGCCACTGTATCTTAGTTTGTGTAGGTTAGTTCTGTACTGTTTGATAGCCACTGTATCTTAGTTTGTGTAGGTTAGTTCTGTACTGTTAGATAGCCACTGTATCTTAGTTTGTGTAGGTTAGTTCGGTACTGTTAGATAGCCACTGTATCTTAGTTTGTGTAGGTTAGTTCTGTACTGTTAGATAGCCACTGTATCTTAGTTTGTGTAGGTAAGTTCTGTACTGTTAGATAGCCACTGTATCTTAGTTTGTGTAGGTTATTTCTGTACTGTTAGATAGCCACTGTATCCTAGTTTGTGTAGGTTAGTTCTGTACTGTTAGATAGCCACTGTATCTTAGTTTGTGTAGGTTAGATCTGTACTGTTAGATAGCCACTGTATCTTAGTTTGTGTAGGTTAGATCTGTACTGTTAGATAACCACTGTATCTTAGTTTGTGTAGGTAAGTTCTGTACTGTTAGATAGCCACTGTATCTTAGTTTGTGTAGGTAAGTTCTGTACTGTTAGATAGCCACTGTATCTTAGTTTGTGTAGGTTAGTTCTGTACTGTTAGATAGCCACTGTATCTTAGTTTGTGTAGGTTAGTTCTGTACTGTTAGATAGCCACTGTATCTTAGTTTGTGTAGGTTAGTTCGGTACTGTTAGATAGCCACTGTATCTTAGTTTGTGTAGGTTAGTTCTGTACTGTTAGATAACCACTGTATATTAGTTTGTGTAGGTTAGTTCTGTACTGTTAGATAGCCACTGTATCTTAGTGTAGGTTAGTTCTGTACTGTTAGATAGCCACTGTATCTTAGTTTGTGTAGGTTAGTTCTGTACTGTTAGATAGCCACTGTATATTAGTGTAGGTTAGTTCTGTACTGTTAGATAACCACTGTATCTTAGTTTGTTAGGTTAGTTCTGTACTGTTAGATAGCCAATGTATCTTAGTTTGTGTAGGTTAGTTCTGTACTGTTAGATAACCACTGTATCTTAGTTTGAGTACTAGCGTATGTATTGATATTTACTATAGCCAGTATTAACAGATAGTGTAGATAGTATTAAACTATATTATTTTTAACGAGCCGTTGTTTCATTAAGTCCTGTGTTTTATTACCAGCTGGTGGTTGCACGTCCTATATGTTGTAAAACGCACCGGATCACACATAACGGTGTGTTCGTGTGTTCACATCACTGTTGTTCAAGCGCCGAATAAAAGCGCCACAGGTCTATTGTAGTCAATAGCTTGAACTAAATGTAAGCCACAGGTCTATTGTAGTCAATTGCTTGAACTAAATATAAGCCACAGGTCTCTTGTAGTCAATAGCTTGAATTAAATGTAAGCCACAGGTCTCTTGTAGTCAATAGCTTGAATTAAATGTAAGCCACAGGTCTCTTGTAGTCAATAGCTTGAACTAAATGTAAACATGTTTTCTTTGTGGAGTCCAAAAAAGGGTGAAAAGGGGGGGGGGGGGTTATATCACTCCTATAGGGGCTAGGGGAATACCCCTCCTACAGTGGCGTAGCCAGGATCGTCTCAAGGGGGGGGGGGTTCCAATTTTTATCCGGGGACAAACTTTCGATTTGCACCCCCTCAAACTTTCAATTTGCACCCCCCCTCATACATTTTATATATATACTGAGGGGTATATATATAACCCCCTACCCCCCCCCCCCCTGCCTACGCCACTGCCCCTCCTACCCCCCTGACTACGCTGCAACCCAGATATAAATTTATCATAGTTAATAATGACATTCGCAGAACATGAAATCACACACAAAAAAACATGCGGCATTTTTTTTTGGCCCCGGTAATCACGCTACACGGATATCGATACCATCAATATTTAAATTCGGCCGACGACTACATAATGTACTGTACAGTGTAATCGCTGAATTGTTTAATGTAACATCGAGTTTAGGAGTGCATGGTTGTCGAGAAACTGACTGATGTAAATTGGGCCAACGAAAACCTTCAAGTATACAGCACAGACTGAAGTTACCTTATGCGTGTGACGTCAGGGATAAGATAAGGGATAACACAAAGGCCTGTGTGAATTTTACCGGTCGGAGTAGGGATTAATGGATTATTAGTTTGATTAATGGTTTAAAGAATACACGTATCAAAAGTAAGTATTTCTTGAAATATATGAGGTGCTTAGTATGTTTTAAAAAAATATTTATAGGAATACGTTTTTACAAAGAAAGTAGGTTATTTCTTGAAATATGTTTTTAAAAAGTAATTATTTTTTGGAATATGTTTTTAAAAAGTAAGTATATCTTGGAATATTTGATGTGTTTTGTACGTTTTGAAATAAATAATTCATGTTTTAGATATTTGGTGCACCCTTCAGTTGTGTCCGCTAATGAACTGTTGAAAAAACGAACACATGTTAATGACATGTGTTGACAGTTGATGGTGTGCTGTGTTAGTTGACCCATGTGTTGCGAAAGTTGACGCCGTGTGTTGTGTCCGTTGGTAATGTATAAAGTAACATATGACACGGTGTGTTGTGTCCGTTGGTAATGTATAAAGTAACATATGACACAGTGTGTTGTGGCAGTTGGTAATGAGTGATGTGACAGTTGACACGGTGTGATGTGACAGTGTTGTGACAATTGACAGACAGAGACTAGGTACGGAGATTAAAAAGAAAATAATGTAGTACATATCGAAAGTCTCGAGTTCGAATCCGCCTTCTAGCCTGTAGAACGTCCCTGAGTCTATCCATCTCAAACTCATTTTAAGGTAAATAAGGGCGGTTGGGCAAAGTGCTGACCACACATTCCCTTCATATGCCGAGGTCAAGAAACAAGTGAACTCTACTTCATCGCAAGGTCTAAAGAGGATTTTTTTTTACTTCATTATGTTCTATGATTCAATAAAATTAAGCAAGGGATAGTGGCGGAATTATAACCGGTTAATTTCGAATTATTGACGGGTGAATGTCGAATTAATAAAGGATGAATGTCGAATTAATGATGGGTTTATTATTTAGTTAAGATGGATTTCAAACGACTAAAGATTACACAACAGATGCGTGATCATAAAAAAAAATATTCAATATAAAGTATACACGCCAACATAGTCCTATTTTTCGCAAATACTGTACACTCTTTACAATGTTTGAGATTATTTTTAAAATTTTTATTTCTTATGTTAAATAGTTTACACCCTTTAAAATGTTTGAGATTATTTTACAAGTTTTATTTCCTATATTTCAGATGTGTTAATAATGTTATAGATTCCACGACAGCCTACTGACAGATTAAATAGTGTTGCGTGTTAGGTCAAGATACAGATACGTTTCAAGATACGGATAAGCTTAGTGTTTGTTTAACATTTTTCAGATAGCTTCGGCTCAATGGTACTACAGATTACAGGGCATGTTGAGAGTTATCGGTCCTGAAGAACTTGGTTCTATAACCACCTCTCAATGGGATGAAGTGTGAGGCATACACTAAGTGGGGTTTTGGTGCGGGCATTGACACTGAAGCAGAAATTGTGAAGGGTAGGTTCAAATTGACGTGTGTGTCATGGTTTGTGTGAAAGAGTGGGGTTAGAGGGTGGGGGTGGAATGGGGCTATTTATTGTTGATTTCACAAACATGACTTACATACACTAGAGAAGTCCGAATCGGACATTTCAAAATGATGTTCTGTTAATAAGATAATTATTTATAAGTAGTAGCTTATACAGACTCATATATATATATATATATATATATATATATATATATATATATATATATATATATATATATATATATATATACATATATATATATATGTGTGTGTGTGATATATATATATATATATATATATATATATCAGATATATCAGATATTGTAGAGTTGATTCAGTGTTTCTATTTGAAACCTTTACATTTCAGTCAATCAAAAGAACAATGGCTGGACTGAGGAGATTAGACAGGAAACACGTCATCCTTACAGTTCTGGTTGTCTGCCTGACCTTGAACTTCCTGCTCCTCTGGCTGATCTATCCTACGCGACATGTTCAACAGACCGTCCAGCGTATAGCCCCTCCCCTTCCTGTAGGAAAGTACGGCCTTACCTTTCAACCCTCTCCCCACATGATCTCACAATGTGTACAGCACTGCCATCCCAAATTTACCGTCGTTGGTGTCGATAAGGACGCTGTGAAACACGCATGTCGCCAACAGAAGAAAATCAATCAAAGTTTAATCACGATGGTGAAGGTTCTAGAAAACCGAGAAAAGAAAATCTTGTCGTTTCTTTTAAAGCCTGTCGTTAACCATATACAACATGCCTACACGCATAACCCACGCCACGCTTGCGTGTTTAATAAGACAGACGTTCTTTTTGTAATACCGTCGTCGGCTGCTAATTTCGAAAACAGGGTCAAGGTCAGAAACTCTAGTATTGGTCAGTTTGTCAAACAGCGGCAAAACAAAGCCGCCATGTTGTTTTTTCTTGGCAAACCGCCAACGGATGTGGAGAATATCCAGCGCAAGATTGACGTGGAGTCTGGTAACCATGGCGACATCGTGCAGGAGAACTTTCTCGACGTTTATTCCAACATCCGACTCAAGGCGTTGTCCATGCTATACTGGGCAGCCGAGTTCTGTCCGCAGACGACATTTGTTATACGGGCAGACGATGACGTCAAAGTCTTCCCAGACAAACTGGTGTCTGTTTTACGAGACACACACAGCAGACATGGGAACTTTATTTTAGGGAACAAGGTTATAGGCTGGGAACCCATTCGGAAAAAGAATTCCAAGTACTATTTATCAGAGGGTGAGTACCCTCACTCCACCCTTCCACCGTTCGCGCTGGGTGGATTGCTGGGGTACCCCATCTGTACCGTGTGGCTGTTGTACCAGGCGGCGCTCAGGGTCAGACCCGTGTGGTTGGATGACGTGTACGTCACGGGGATCTGCGCACCGGAAGTTGGGGTCCCTGTACTCAATGACACCAATTTTGGGTTCAAGCACTGGGACTGGTGATGTTCAGGTGGTGTGTGGTAATGGCTTTGGTGGTGATGCGGTGAGACGTGGTTACTGTTGGTGACACATGAATGTGGGGTTCAAAGTCCACTATGTGTGTTGTGATAGAAATCTCTTATTGCATTTCTTGTGTTGTATTTTTGTTCGGATGACTTTTATTGCAGATTTTCTACTTTATGCAATGCTGTGCATTTTTATGAAGAATACTTTTACTGCGGATGCTCTATACTATGCTGTGTATTTTTGTATATGTTTTAAGATGTAAGATTTTTGTTGGTGTAGTGTAATGGATTGCTTATGATGATGTAGGACCACATTGCTATGGTCATGTGGGTGCAATATTTCATTCACTACAGACATTTTTCATCGTTTAGTTTCATGGATTGGATTAAATTTTATTAATTTCCGAGGACCGAATAAATCAGACCCACTGTATGGACCACACAAAAACCCAAGAGCTGTTTTCGTGAATGGATATTTACTCGAATACAACAAATGCAGGAATGGATAATTGCCTGAATAAATGCAGGAATGGTTATTTGCCAGAATACTACAAATTAGTAGGCCTATTGTTTGTTTCCATCAAATTTTGCTATTCGTTAACTGATTATAAATAAATGTATATTTCATATCTATTTCAGTTTAGATTATTTGTCGAACATTCAGTGCTATACTATGTGTGTGTACTTTTATGTGTGTGATTTGGTTAGCTTTCTGTTCAATTCTGATGAAAATCGTTCCAGTTGAACATTTCAATCGCTGTCCTAATTAAAACATTGCCCCAGTTAAAAAGAGCCTCTTTAAAAAAGGTACTCCAACCCAATGTTGACCCATTGTCAGAGCAGTGGCCGTTCATAAAAAAAACAACTTACGACTCTTTAGAGATATAAGATGCATTAAAAGATTAGCAGGATTTATTCAATACTGGCCCAGATAAATTTAAAACCAGACCATAAGAAATATAAAAATAAACACACAACTTTATAGCACACAAAGCATTGAGTAAAGACAGCATTGAGTGAACAAAGCATTGATTAAAAAATGCATTGAGTAAGATAAAGCATTGAGTTAAAGCATTGAGTAAAACAAAGCATTGTTTAAAACAAAGCATTGAGTAAAACAAAGCATTGAGTAAACAAAGTATTGCCATTGAGTAAAGAAAGCGTTGAGTAAACAAAGCATTGAGTAAAAGAACTATTGAGTAAACGAAGCATTGTGTAAACAAAGCATTGTGTAAAACAAAGCATTGAGTAAAACAAAACATTAAAGACAAAGCATTGAGTAAGACAAAGCATAGAGTAAGATATACTAAATAAATACACAAAGATCGACGCAAATAAAAAAAAAAATTCTTGAATAAATCTTAAGGAAATATAAGATAAGATTGGTCTTGACCCAGTTCTGTGATGTGGATAAGAATATGGAAACATTCCAACTGGACACATACACACACGGATACACATTGTGGATACAGGCTGGACAAACCTCTGTTATATTCAGGTAAAGTAGAGTTTATGGATTGATCTCTGACCTATATATTAATTGTTGCGAAAATATATGTTATCTAAAACCACAGTTTGTAGAAAGATTAAAATCTAAATCAACTAAACACCTCTGCTGTTTTTCAGTACGAAGTTGCTTTGTTTCCCGGACAAACTATTCACTTTTATAACACAACCATAAAATCCATTGGTTGTTTTAAATTTCCCCATTAAGACCGAACTATCCATTTGGCAGATGTAGTAGTGTTCATGTTTCTTGACCTCGATGTTTGAAAGGATGGTGTGGTCAGCACTATGCCAAAGCAGTCTTTACTTTTCCTAAAGTAATTCGGGTACCCATAAGAGCTGGGTGGACTCAAGGACGTCGTATAGTCACAGGTCTGATGTGTGATCCGAAGTTAAGACGTTCTGCTAGCAACCACATGCTCTACTGTTCGACCACGCAGTCCCTTAATTTATTTCTTTACTACAACGATAATCACTTATAACAGGGCAACCATTGTTTTAAAGTTAATTTAGCGAAAGAAAATAATTATGTTATGATTAATTGTTTAGTCTATGAAATATTTTCACATTTAATGAAAGCTCGACGCTCTCAGCATTCAAAAATGCTCAGGTAAATTTAAGTAGTTTTCTCTCAGATAAATACAGTGTGAATCAACATTTGTTACTATTGGGTCAACATTTGTTACTTTTGAGTCAACATTTGTTAATATTAAGTCCACATTTGTTAATATTGAGTCAACATTTGTTATTGTTGAGTCAACATTTGTTACTTTTGAGTCGACATTTGTTATTATTGAGTCAACTTTTGTTATTGTTGAGTCAACTTTTGTTATTGTTGAGTCAACATTTGTTATTGTTAATTCAACACTTTTTATTGTTGAGTCATTTGTTATTATTGAGTCACTACTTGTTATGGTTGAGTCAACATCTTGTCTTGACGATAACATTTAGCTGAGACCGGCCAATATGCACCACTTTTTACTTTAATCCTTTACCTACAGCCATACTATCGATTGTATTGACTTTACATTTAACAGCCGCAAATCTTTTGTTTCCAGCTCAATCCCCAGCATGTTGAGACGGCGCAGGCGGAAGAATATCAGAATAGTGCTCACTACCATTGTGGTCGCTGGTTTAACCACCAACGTTTTGTGGTTGTGGCTCTTTAGCCAAACGCCAACACAACCCGGCGCCGATACATGTGGCTCCAGTTTTACTCACGCCGTACCTGAAACCGTATATCAGGTTTGTGCCGATCTGATTGGTCCAAACTTTACAATGAACGACAGCTCAAACCTCGAAACTAACCAGCTCTTGTATCACGATATACTACAAAACTTGAACCGGAAAATAAAAAATCTGGAAGAAAAAAATACAAATCTTATCGCCTTCTTATCAAAACCCGTGATAAACAAAGTCAACCATTCATACATTCATAACCCCGTCAACGCATGCGCAGATAACAGAACGGAAGTGCTTTTTGTCGTACCGTCTGCTGTGTTTAAATCTGGTACAAGAATTGATGTCAGGAACTCAAATTTAGGTCAGTTTGTTAAAAACCCAGATAACAACGCAACTTTGTTGTTTTTTCTGGGTCAAGTTTTCAACGACACGAAAAATCTCCAGGCAGAGGTAGATGAGGAGGCTCGTCAGTTCGGCGACATCGTGCAGGAGAACTTTCTAGATGTTTATTCCAACATCCGACTCAAGGCGTTGTCCATGCTATACTGGGCTGTCGAGTTCTGTCCGCAGACGACATTTGTTATACGGGCAGACGATGACGTCAAAGTCTTCCCAGAGAAGTTGGTGTCTGTTTTAAGGGATAAGCATAAGACTTATCCAAACTTCATCATCGGGAAGAAGGTTGAGAACTGGAAACCTTACCGTAACAAGAATTCCAAGTACTATCTCTCAGAAGATGAGTACACCCACTCCACCCTTCCACCGTTCGCGCTGGGTGGATTGCTGGGGTACCCCATCTGTACCGTGTGGCTGTTGTACCAGGCGGCGCTCAGGGTCAGACCCGTGTGGTTGGATGACGTGTACGTCACGGGGATCTGCGCACCGGAAGTTGGGGTCCCTGTACTCAATGACACCAATTTTGGGTTCAGACACTGGGATTTGTGATCTGTGGAGAATTTAGTGTTAGTTAGTTTTATACGATTCTGTGTGAAGTATGCGTGCCACGTTTATTGTAAGCGGTTCATCTGAAGTCAACTCTCTAAACCTGGGTTGATAACCGGTTTTCATTTCACAATAAGACTGGATTATATATGTAAATATATATATATATATATATATATATATATATATATATATATATATATATATATATATATATATATATATATATATATATATATATATATATATATATATATATATATATATATATATATATATATATATATATATATATATATATATATATATATATATATATATATATATATATATATATATTCACTTACATGGACATCTTAATTAGAATTAACGAGCCGACCCGCTGCGTCTACTTTTCAGTAATTTATAATTTGTGAATTCGACAGTACCAATGCTGCCACTGAAAATATTTGCTTAAAAACACTAAACCCCCCTTCCCCCCCCCCCCCCACGTGAAAGCAGCCTCCTCTTAGTTACCTCTTCTAAGTTTAAAATCGTTTCAAACTAAATTATCTGCCCCTAATAGCCGTCACCAAACCCGTCTCTATGATTGTAAAATGTAAACAGCGTGAACCACAGCTCACCAGACCATGTGAGGGGGTAGGGGGGTGGTAGCGATAGAGAGGAAGAGAGGAAGAGAGGGGACTGTAAGGCGCGCTTGCAGCTTGTTTTCTAACGGCTCCCAGAAGAGAATTATATATATAGATGTTCAAATCTTGTACATACCCCTATTTTTTTAAGGAACACACAGTGGAGATGAATAGTTCTAGGATTTTATATTTACTATAACGTTATTAGAATTATTTGATTTCGTTCGTTATAACAACTAAATATATAAAAGGAATAGGTAAGCGAGAGATAGTGAGAGAGAGAGAGAGAAAACAAGACTACCACGTGTACAATTTTACTCTTTGATTTAATCTAAAAATAAAACGAAGACCAAGAATTTATTATGTATTTGTCACGAGTTTCTTTCAGGCATATTTGAGTTGTGGGGGGGGGGGGGTGGGAAGAGTACCGCCCCCAAAGCACGTCTACATGACCGCCTATAGCGTGATTCAGGTTTCACTGACACATTGCATGTCAGGTATCACCATCAAATGTCAGATATCACCATGAAATGTCAGGTATCACCATCAAATGTCAGGTATCACCATCAAACGCTAGGTGTCACCATCATACGTCAGGTGTCACCATCCTACGTCAGGTGTCACCATCCTACGTCAGGTATCACCATCATACGTCAGGTATCACCATTAAATGTCAGGTGTCACCATCAAACGAACGTGATTTGTTGGGTATCGGCCAGTGAATTATTCAAACGGTATCGATTGGGACGGTTCCCTCACTCGTTAGCTGTTTAATTAGCTAATTAGCGGCGCGGTGTTAATGACCAGACTGCATGTCTGCTGTTGGCGAGGTGTGAACAAGACCTACCACGATGGTAGGACACACCAGACACGATGGTGTGTGTGATGGTGTGTGTGGATAATGTGTGTGGATAATGTGTGTGATGGTGTGTATGTGTGTGTGGATGGTGTGTGTAGATATTGTGTGTGATGGTGTGTATATTTGTGTGTATTTATGTGTGTGGATTGTGTGTGTGATGGTGTGTGTGTGGATTGTGTGTGTGTGGTGGTGTGTGTGGATTGTGTGTGTGTGGTGGTGTGTGTTGAGGGTATGTGTGGATGGTGTGTGTGGATGGTGTGTGTGGATGGTGTGGTAAGGATACGTGTGTTTCAATGCACCTTCCTAACATCTCACGAATCCACCAATTTCCACAGTTGCTACGCTTAGTTGATGAACCATTGATATAATTCAACCTTTAAATAATCACTTAATAAACAAAAAACATTTTCAAGGGAAATAACTATAACAATCTGATCACTAAATATATTTTACTTATTCTGTCCCTTGGTAATTTTAGAGACTTGAAAATTTAGGTTAGATTAAAGCTAACTGGCATATATTCTATCCCACACACTCACAGACACAATCTCCCACACAACTTCACACTTTCCCATATACTCTACCCCACACACTCTACACGTTCTCCCTCACATTTACACTTGCACATTTTCCCTCACAGCCTAAAACTCTCCTATTCTCTCACACACTCACATTCCCTCACACACACGTACACACTCTCCCAAACACTTGCACACTCTCACACAGATTCACCTCATACTTTCCAACACTCTTTTTACACACACTTTCGAGCTGTTCCACACACTCCCCCACACAATCCCCTACACACTCCCACACCCATGAATGTAAACACACACCCGTCACCTTTCGCCGCTGTGTCCTGACCGTGTCCTCGCTATTCAAAATCTTCCATACGGGAGTCACGTGACCGGTCCTTCACATTAACTTGTGTAGCGAATCTAAAAGCTCTTTCAATCGTGTTTGCACCGAAAAACGACCCCCCCCTATTCACTAGCAGTACCAGACTTGCCATAGATTTCATGAAGCCGAGAAGTTTGAATAGCACCACACACAAATGTTCCACACATAGCACCACACACAAATGTTCCACACATAGCACCACACACAAATGTTCCACACATAGCACCACACACAAATGTTCCACACATAGCACCACACACAAATGTTCCACACATAGCACCACACACAAATGTTCCACACATAGCACCACACACAAATGTTCCACACATAGCACCACACACAAATGTTCCACACATAGCACCACACACAAATGTTCCACACATAGCACCACACACAAATGTTCCACACATACATGTAAATGTAGAGGTTTTCATTTCGCGATCTCTAAAAGACTTTTTTATTTCGCTGAGCTCGACATACGAGGAAATTAATTCCAAATGAAATGGAAATAGTTTCGTAAAGTTTTTAAATACAGGTTAGGCCTAGGGTTTTTCAAACTGCGTGCAGTTCAAAATATTTGCCGGTAAAAAGTGGTGAAGTAATGGAGATACATGAGTACTAAGGGAACAGGGCATTTCCCCCTGTCAATTACCCCCCGGATATTTCCCCCCCGACATTACCCCCCAGAGTAATTACCCCCCCCTGTCAATTACCCCCCTGTCAATTACCCCCCGCCCAGTAGGACATTACCCCCCCCCCCCGGACAGGGTTAGGGTTAGGGTTAGGGTTAGGGTTAGGTTTTAGGGCTAGGGTTAGGGTTAGGGTTAGGGTTAAGGTTAGGGTTAGGGTTAGGGTTAGGGTTAGGGTTAGGGTTAGGGTTAGGGTTAGGGTTAGGGTTAGGGTTAGGGCTAGGGTTAGGGTTAGGGTTAAGATTAGGGCTAGGGCTAGGGTTAGGGTTAGAGTTAAGATTAGGGTTAGGGTTAGGGCTAGGGTTAGGATTAAGATTAGGGCTAGGGCTAGGGTTAGGGTTAGGGTTAGGGTTAAGATTAGGGTTAGGGTTAGGGTTAGGGTTAGGGTTAGGGTTAGGGTTAGGGTTAGGGTTAGGGTTAGGGTTAGGTTTAGGGCTAGGGCTAGGGCTAGGGTTAGGGTTAAGATTAGGGTTAGGGCTAGGGTTAGAGTTAGAGCTAGGGTTACGGTTAGGGTTAGAGCTAGTTTTAGGGTTAGGGTTGTGTCTAGCTTTGGTTTTGGTTTTGTGTGAAGGTTTAGGCTAAGGTGGATGCTTAGGTTTTGGTCTTTTTCTTAAGGTTTGGATTAAAGTAGTATATAGGGATAAAATTCTAGTTAGTGTTAGGATTTTAACTTGAGAGGAGGGGGGTAATTCCCCGGGGGGGGGGGGGGTAATTGACAGGGGGGTAATTGCTCCGGGGGGTAAATACGGGGGGGGGGAAATGTCCGGGGGGGGGGGGGAAATATCCAGGGGGGTAATGTCCTGTAGCCGAGTACTAAATGTTGGTACATGAACTAAGACATAGGGGTACTAAAATATTGGTGCACTAGTTGAGGTATAGGGGGTATTAAAATATTGGTGCACTAGTTGAGGTATAGGGGTACTAAAATATTGGTGCACTAGTTGATGTATAGGGGTACTAAAATATTGGTGCACTAGTTGATATGTAGGGGTAGTAAAATATTGGTGCACTAGTTGATATATAGGGGTAGTAAAATATTGGTGCAATGGTTTAGTTATAGGAGTACTAAAATATTGGTGCACTAGATGAGATATAAAATATAAGACTACTAAAATGCTGGTACACTATTTATGATTATAGAACAGAAAACTGTTTATACGATAGTGTAAAAAAAGAATCCACACATTTTGAGACAAATAATTTCACATTTTCATAGACAAAAGGACTAACGGCGAGGTCGGGTCAGTTAAGCTCGATAGCTAGGGACAGATAGTCATCTAGAAAAGAAAACCCCATAGATGGGAACAGCCACTCATATAACAGAGACAACTCCATAGCTAGGGACAGTAACTCATCTAGGAGAGACAATTCTATAACTGGGGACAGCAACCCATCTAGGAGAGACAACTCCATAGCTAGGGACAGTAACTCATCTAGGAGAGACAACTCTATAACTGGGGACAGCAACCCATCTAGGAGAGACAACTCCATAGCTAGGGACAGTAACTCATCTAGGAGAGACAACTCTATAACTGGGGACAGCAACCCATCTAGGAGAGACAACTCCAAAATAAATTTAAAAAAACTGCTGTCGTGTCTTTGTTCTTGGTTGGACAAAGGCTGTGGAAGCAAATCCAAAATGCCGTCATCTCGACCACAAGCTTTAAGAGAACATTACATCCGGACACTGTTGAATAGACATTTACAGTTTATCAATTTCCTTTTATAATTACATAAGAAATAGAAGATTAATTGCATGTTTTTCTAATTTTTTGAAATTAATTACTCGGTGATCTAGCACAAATGTCTGTTGGTTCTCGTGTCTCGACATTTCTAAAAATAGCTATGGATATTACCCCCCCCCCCCTAACCAAGCCACCAATAGTCAGTGAAGCGTAGAAAAATCCAGTCCGTGAATCGAACAGTCGTGGAATAAATGGGTTGTGACGAGTTCAGTGCAACATATTGTGTCATTCGTGGCAGAGAAATTGGGCGGGGCAGAAGGCCTGGGGGGGGGGGGGGGGGGGGAGAGAATAGACGGCGTGAGGGGGACGGGGGGGGGGGGTTATTACAGTATGGAATAATCTTCTGGAATGGTGGGCTTTGAAACCTGTCCATGTTAGATCTTATCTTGAGTTTGTTGGAAGGTTTTAGTATCTAAGCTTGATTTGTGTACACAAACTTTAACTGGATCTTAATCACTCACTAATGTGTAGGGTAGCTTTAGGATTATTTTTTATCGTGTTCGAATAAATATTCTCTTAGAGTTTTTGGATTACATGAGCATGTCAACCATCGATTTATAGAATGTTATAATTGAAAAAATAAATAAAACATTCGGACCTAATGTAAACAAGAAAGGTGGAGTAGAGTTGATGTTTAAATATGTTTTGTAAACGAAATGTCTATTTGATTATGTGATTTACCTTTTTATTATTTTGGAAAGTTTAATTGTTAATTTAAAACAGAAATCTTAATTTTTTAAGCCAATGTAGCTTACTTTCATACTTATTGTTTTCTCGTATGGTGTAAAACATGGTTATGTACAACTTTAATATTAAAGTTTACATTACCAATACCATAATAATTTAATGAATAATTATTAATTATAAGAACAACATTTAACATTATTTATTGTTTATAACAGGTGGAGCGTCAAGATCTTGATTTTAATCGTTCCCTCAACTGTCGCTTGATGCATCAACTATCTTGTAAAGAGCCTATTAACATAACATCTCTATACTGAAAGCACCAACTCTACTTCAACTGCAGTTTAATCTCTATACCGGAAGACTAACAGAGTCGCTTAATTAAGACGATACAAGCTTAATCATGGCTGTAATATTTCTGATATAATAGACAGGATTCTTTCATAATTTAGTTACAAAAATGTGTCAATAAATAATACGAAGTAATTAGTCCACTAAATGAAGTTCTAGTAAGAGATTCTGTTGGATTCGATCCCCGGCCTGTCATGGCAGCCGGTATCAGGTGGTTGTGTCTTGTGTCTGGCATTGCTGGTCTGTGTCTGCTGGTAAACGTCGTCATGCTCGCAGACCGGAACCAGAACTCAGACCGGAGCTCAGAGAGTGAGTACCGCAGCCGCCAGATGAGGGACACCTCCCGTACGGATACCCCAGACAAACCCATGTGTCTGAACTATGTAATAGGCAGCGACCGAAGCTACGTCATCGACGGGTTGTCCAGCCGGCGCGAGAAGGTCATCACGTACGAGAAGTGCGAGCACGTGCTGACCAAAGCGCTCAAGGTCAACCGGAACCTGAGTCTCGAGGTGGGCGTGGCCAGGGACATGCTGACCTTACTGTCCGAGCCTGCGGTCCACGAGCACAGTTTCCGGTACCTCTACAAGCCGACGTGCGGCAACTCCACCGTGGACCTCCTCCTTGCTGTCACTTCCGACATCGACAACTTCAGCCGCAGACAAAATGCCAGACAAATTATCACCGGGGATTTGCAGAAGAAAACTGGAATCAGGTGTAAGATGATTTTTTTTATCGGTAAAATGTCCCAGAACTTAAGTGATAGTCACGTGGTGAATCAGATCGAAAACGAGGCTAAACAACACGGCGACATTGTACAGGAGAGCTACGAAGACGTTTTTAAAAACATCCGTGTCAAGGTAACGTCAATGCTGAAATGGACATCCACGTATTGCGGTAAAGCTAAATACGTCATCAAAATGAACGATGACGTCGATTTGGATGTACCAGCACTCTACGCGGCATTGAAAAACGCCAGAAGAAATTCGGAACATTTTATTTTGGGACATATTCGTCTCAACATGAAACCCATTCGTGACGTCAAACACATGTGGTACATATCGAAACAAGAGTACCCCGACTCCACATTTCCGGCTTTCTTAAACCGGAAGTTGTTCGGACTTCCGGTGCCCACGGCGAAGCTGCTGTACCAGGTGGTCCTGAGAACGAAACCCATCTGGTTGGACGACGTCTACGTCACCGGCTTGTGTCCAGCCCGAGCCAACATCACGTTACTCGACTCAGCTGAATTCCGTACCCAGATGTATCGTAATTCAACCTCGCTAAGATCGAAGTTTAGCCTAAGCTCAAGGACTAACAAGAACCCCAATTGAGAAGATCAGTGCACAATTTTAGATTGAGCTCACAAACTCACAATAAACCCAATGTGAAGATCAAGCCAAACATTTAGCTTGAGCTTAACTTGAGCTTGAGGCATCACATGTAAGGCGATGTCAAGGTTAGCTCCAGATACTGCTGGTCAGTTCTGTTAAGGCTGTTAATTTTTCATTTGATTATAAGTTGTTTAACATTTGTACTCTGCTGTGATATTCTATCTTGCATATGAAGCTATAAGAAATTGTGTGTCTTGACAGTTAAAGATAACAAATAATAAAATTATGTGTTTTTACAATGTAGTTGATATTGGTTCCTACTTTGAATGTTAATGAAACGGCGTGGCCTAGAGGTAGAGCGCTAGACTGCTAACCCGAAAACTTGAGTTCGAATCCGGGTTTAAGTCTGTAAAACGCCCCTTAGTCCATTCAGCTCTGATGGGTACCCAACTCACGATAGGGAAAGTAAAGACGGCTGGGCATAATGCTAAACTCAATATCCCTTTATATGCCGAGGTTAAGAAACATATGAACTCCACTCCACAATTGTTTCATGTTTCTCACAGCAAGTGAATTAAAATTAGTCTATTTCAGGAAATATCAGTAAGATTTTTTTTTAATTACCATTTAAAAAAAATTTTATTGTCAAAAAATTATTTTCTTTTTCTTTTAAAATTAAAACGCTTCAGCCAAACCCAATCCAGTCCAAAAAACGTCACGATCCATAAGTCCTCCCCCCCCCTCCTCCCCCCATATCTCGTCACCCAAGAGAAACCTACATCTGGAGCAGACGACAAAATATCAACGTACTTTCCGTGACATTTCCCAACATGCCAGTCGACTTACCCAAACTTCCTACATCCGTCAGCGGTTGGCAAAATTCAATCATAATTTGTTTAAACGTGTCTGAAAAAATTCAATGATAATTTGTTTAAACGTGTCTGACAAGATTTCAAACACAAACAAACGTGTCACGTGATATGAGGGTTATGTGCTGATTAGCCGTGTCTTCCTCCTAGTTCAGTTACAGCCGCTGTTAGCGAGAAAGGTAATAGAGATCTAAAGTCAACACTGATTTGTAAACTGTAAACCCAGTCTGCCTCCTCACACCACTGACGTCCAGTTTGGGTAAAGGCCACCACCCCTCCCTCCCACCCCCCGTCTCACCCCCACCCTCCCTCCCTCCCACCCCGTCTCACCCCCCTCCCACCCTCCCACCTCCGTATAACCACCCCTCCCACCTCCGTATAACCCACCCTCCCTCCCACCCTCCCTCCTTCCCTCCCTCCCACCCTCCCTCCTCCTCCCACCCACCCTCCCACCCCCGCCTAACCACTCCTCCCGCCCCCGTATGACCCACCCACCCTCCAGCCCCCCCCCACCCACCCTCCCTTTTCATTTGTCGAGAAGGGGGGGGTTAGTGGGGAGGGGGAAATGAAGGGCAATCATATCACATGCATCAGAGTTTAGGGATGATTGATTAATTGATTGATTGATTGATTAGAGTTTACTACTCTATAAGAGTCACTTAGACAACCATGGGCAGATTTTAAACTTATTTTTCATTTTGTTATATTTTTATACTAATAGTAAATTGATTTTTTAATTTATTGATTGAAATGTAATTATTTTAAAAAAACATAATTGTACTTATCATAGTGATGCATTGATCTGCCATGTAAAACAAATCACTGTATTAGAAAGTGATTTGAGTTATGAGATTTAAAAACAAACCTTTGGTTTGCCATTAATAAGCTTGTTAATTCAGGGCAACACATGTAAGGGAAATAACAAGGTGTGTTCGGTTGTTTTGAAGTGTGTTGAAGTTGTGTCCCTTATGCTTTAATTTTAATTTAACATTTTTGTTGTATATTTTACTTTTGTACGTGACTTTATTTAATGTGTTCTAATTTGACATTACAGGTGAACATTAATATCACTATACGTTTTAAGCAATAAATATACCACATTTTTTCCAGTTGAATTATGACGTTTATACCTTTATGTTTGAATATAGTATAATGATGTTGTGACTATGTATGACATAACATTTACGTTACAGTTCAATCAATTGATTTAAAATGTTTACAACCTGTCCTGATAATATCATGTTACTGTTGCTTACATGTGGCGTTGATTACCCAGCTCGTTACTAAAGCAGATAATCATAATTAATTAGTTTCCCTACACACTAACATCACCTCTTTGCTTCTAAGTTCAATTGATTTAAATCTAAACAGCTTCGGTCGCCCAAAAAGACCAGCTTATTGATTACAAGTGGTGTTACGGCACTAATTAATTAGTGCAAGATGCTAATTAGGTTAGGTTGCTAATGAAAAGCCCTGGAACACGTTCTTCAATGACACCTTGCACACAGGGGTGTGCTGTCGCATGTAAAATAATAGGCAGAAGGTGACATATTTCACTACAACATGACATTTCACTACAACATGACATTCACTACAACATGACATTCACTACAACATGACATTCACTACAACATGACATTTCACTACAACATGACATTTCACTACAACATGACATTTTCACTACAACATGACATTCACTACAACATGACATTTTCACTACAACAAGACATTTTACTATAACAAGACATTTCACTATAATGTTTTTGCTATTCTGTCTGTTTGTCTGTCGTGAACGCTGTATAGAAATCATAAGGAAATTTGAAAGATACGTCACATGGAACATATAGGAAGTTTTCCTCACGAAACGAAATATGTACAGTTCTAATAAAGCCGGAAAAGTACACACGATAAAATGACGCCATTGATTCTAGAGTAAACATAGAATTAAAAAGCCATTGTCGACAGTGTTTCTTCCAGATTTTTTTCTCCGGGGGGGGGGGGGGGCTTGAAATTTTCGGTGGGGCGGTAGACTTTCTTTGGGGGGGGGGGGGCGGACACTGTTAAAAGTATATATTTTCTATATAAATTATATAAATTTCATTTCGTTCGGGGGGGGGGGGGGCGGTAAAAAAATTTCTGGTGCCTGGAAGAAACTCTGATTGTCGAAATAAAAAATACACAACAATAATGACGTCATCGATGCACTTTTCCATGTATATATTATTTCTTTCGAGGGGGCGGTAGACGTTCTTAGGGGAGCTCCGCCCCCAACCAAAGAGAAGCCAAAAATACATTATGAATGCGGCTTTTGTCAAGTTTGAGCTTAGGTGCAAGGTTTAACGGTGTGACCACGACTATATTTAGCATGAATCTGCAATAACGACGTGTAGATCAAAGTAACAAGATAAAGTATTGTGGCATGTCTACATTTGGCATTTATACACGCAATAGTATGGCGTCGTTGATTGTTGAATAAAAAATAGAATTAAGAATCGAATTCCAAAAACGGTACATCATTATAATGACGTCATTGATAATAGAGATAAAAATTAAACACCTAGTTTACTTGTGTAATTTTAGAATAGAATAAATCGGAGAAGTAATTTATAAATAGTAACCGTCAGGATTAAGGTTAGGGTTATTCGGTGTTTTATTTCAAGTTAAATTTCCGGATCAGGTTGAAAAGCCGATTCTGGGTACGCAACTGTTTTCAATGACATTTTTCGTTTCCGGTTTAAAATGAAGTTGAGGTGGTGATTTTGGCTTTGGTTTACAGAAAAAGACAACACTATTAACCTAGTGCCCGTTGTAACTCTCCCTCAACGAGTCATTTATCTAGGGCAGGGGTCGGCAACCTTTTGAGACGGAAGAGCCAAAAGTTAAAATTTTCAAAACTTTCCAGTTTTTAAAGAGCCACTAATTTTTTTTTCAATATTTTATTATTTGATTAAGATTAGGTAAATAAATTTGATTATTTTTTTTTAAATAAATAGCTTTAAATATGAAATACTATTTATTCATATAAAAACATACACTTGTTTCGCCAGAATAATAAAATTGGTAATCAAAAAATAAAAATATAGGACTATCCCAATCCACTTTAAAAGCTGTTGACTTTTTTTTTCTTTACGGACATCACCGGCTCAGGAGGTGTCTCCCATTAGGCAGGCCTCAACACGGCAAATTCCAACCAACTTGCTTGGATATCGGTTTGATTAACGTGTATCAGGCGCTTCTGTCCTTTGGTTCTCACCAAGCTTATCTTCCACCCCATTGAACGCAGGGTAAACCCGTTCCCCACCATCCAGTACCCGGCTCAACAGTAGGAAGCTAATAACTAAAAAAAACTACGTCACTCACGACAAATTAATGATTACTGACGGATAGGGAAATATAATCTGAATAAAATAGCATTCACCGTTTAACGATATTCGAAAAAATCGGCACTTGAGCTGTGACAAGTTTGGAATAGTCGCCACGGGGCTGGCCACAACACGGCTTTGGGGCTGGGTCTGATGCCCAAGTGGTGTCAGCTGTCCGTATACTTTCTAGTGCACATATTCGCACTATTCTCTGATGAGTTTTTTCTTCTGTTTAAATGTGTCTTTCTTCACAGTATACTTTTCTTTATGAGTTTTGAAAATAAAATAATATAACTATTAATATATTTGTGCAAGGAGTTAGAGAGCAGCATTTTACTACACCTTTCATCCGATCGCCATGAAACTTTAGGAAGTTGTTGAGAATACTTCTGGGGAGGTATCTGCAAAAAAAAAGTCTAATTCGCTTGGTGTGCAATTCTTTTGTCTACGAGATTTTATTCTATTTTTAAAACTTTAAGTATTTAAAATGGATTAAAAATCATGTCTATAGCCCGAGTTCCCATCCCCTGTTGTTTTGTATAAGAATATTCGAGAAAGTTTAGGGGAGATCACTCCCGGTTTATTTTTTTTCGCCCCAGACACGTAATTTATAGCGTCAGTTGTGTGTTCGCTTTAGTATTACAGTTTTCATCATCGGCTTGTGAGGACTGATACAGATTTACAATAGTAATATTTCTTTCTTACTTGTAGCCTGCTTTCATTCATTTAAGATGGTTTACTTATACATAGATCTAATACAAAACGTCTAAATATAAAGAAAAAATAAAAATTAAAAACCAACCTGAAACTGAAAATGCAAATGTGTAATTAAATGATGATTCAAGGGATTTTTTTTCTCGGCGTGCGTGGTGGGCTGAGGGGACGGGGGGGGGGGGGGGGGAATTTGGGGTTTTAAGTAGAGCTGAAAAAAAATTG